TTCCATTTCTTTGGAAAGAAACACATTTTGTTTAAAGTCATATTTACTGATAAACTTAAAGTTATGATTTCCGGAATATTCTATATGTTAATGATGATTCTTGAATGTAAAGAAAATGAAAGTGTGGAATATGAGATACGACCATCGTACCATGAATGAAGAATCATATGTGTGGCCAAGAGAGCCAATAAAATAATGATGTTCTGAGTGGTTTAAAGTACTAATGAAGCTATATATGGTGGAAAAGGTTATGAGGTGAATGCATTTGTATTTATGTTTCCTTTGCTTTGCAAAACAAAATGTTTTTGGGAGTATCATTAGCGAGCCGAGGAAGGGCGGGTTGTAACGGCCCACACCCAAAACTACACGTTCCGTTGTAGGAATGGATTGAGATTATTCCACTTAATTGGGATTAGATTGATGTAATGAGATTATTCCCTTTAATTAGGATGAGATTGATGTTAGCTCTGGATTGGAATGTTGACCCATACAGCATATGTGGGGAGACGGGCTAGCCGATCGGGTGGAGATCGGACGCCATGTCCAGTGCATGGTGCTTGCTCACTCTTGGTATCACCTTTTATTTGCATCACCATGTCAATCCATATTGATTTGTAGAGAGATGGCTGAGCCGATCAGGTTTGTGATCAGACTCCATGCCTCATGTATGGTGTGATGATCGGAGGCTAATGATCTCCCAACCAAAAATGCTAATTTCTTATTTTGAAAAATTGTTATGTTTTAACTTGGTATTTGGATATCATTGGTTGTTACTTGTTGCTTTCATGGTTATTCCATTGTTATATTGGAATTCTATTTCATGAGAGGATATTTAGTTCTACATAATCGTAATATTCCATATGTACTAACGTCCCTTTTGCCGGGGTGTTGTATCTTTAATGGATGCAGGTGGTTTGTCAACGAGCAGATTTGATCCTCGTTAGCAGTTACCCTTTTCTCAGCAGGTTTTGGTGAGCCCTATTATGTTCCGAGCCTTATGTTCCTTTACGTTGTACATAGTGTTTTAAGGTATAGCCGGGGCCTTGTCTATGGCACATCCATACTACTCTTCTGTTATACTTAGAGGCTCTGTCGACATGTTGTAGGTAGTGTTCAATTTATGGTAATGAACTAGAAGTGTTGGTATTTGGCAAACATGTTTTTTCCTCGTAACTATGAACTTGTAATATTTTGAAAATTGTAAATGAAGCTCCTATGAGTAATGGGAAAAAGAATGTGGTACTCATTACTCTTTTCATGTTTATCTCCTGTTATTGATTCTTATATTGGTCATGGGTAAGGTTGGGTAGAAGGCATCAATAGGATTGCTTGACCGAGGTATTTCGGTTGAGTGCCATCGCGCTCCCCGAGGGAGAGGCGTGACAGTAGCCTGATCTCAAGTCTATCTTCGAGAAGCAATTGGCACCCTGCAGGTGGTCGAACAAGTCATCAATTATGGGAAGAGAATATTTATTCTTGATCGTGACCTTGATCAACTGTTTGTAATCTATGCGCATACGTAGGGAGCCATAATTCTTTTTCACAAATAAGACTGATGCTCCACAAGGAGAAGTGTTGGTTCTGATGAAACCCCTATCTAACAGATCTTTCAACTGCTCCTTAAGTTCCTTTAATTATTGTGGTGCCATCCTTTAAGGAAGAATAGATATTGGTTGCATACCTGGCACTATATCAATGGGAAAGTCAATTTCCCGCTCTGGAGGAAGATTTGGAAGCTAATCTGGAAATACGTCAGGGAACTCAGTCACTACTGGAACTGATTGAAGAGTCGGTATTCCCTTATCTATGTCTCGAACATAAACTATATGATATAAGCATCCCTTGTCTATCTTCTTCCACGCCTTAAGGTACCAAATAATTCTACAACTAACCCTTTTGGAAAATTGAACTGGACTGTACTCTCTCTACAGTGAACATTAGCATAGCAGGAAGATAACCAACCATTACCAAGTATAACATCAAAGTCAACCACTTCTAACTCAATCAAGTTAGTTGTATTACTACGGTCGCCGATCACAATAGTGCAACCTCTAAAAACACGCCTAGCTACTACTGAATAACCAATTGGGGTGGCTACCTCATAAGGTTTAATGTCTTCTAGTTCTTTCCCAAATTTAGTAGTAACAAAGGGAGTAGCATATGATAGTGTAGAACCAGGATCTATCAACACATACACATTATGAGAATTCACGAATAAAGTACATGTAACCACGTCTGGTGAAGCCTCCCGATCCTAACAACCAACCAGAACGTAGGTACGGTTCTGGGGGCCGCCTGTAGTAGGAGCTCCACCTCGGCATGTACCATGACCCACTTGTGTCTGAGGAACTTGCCCTTGTGGGTGTGCTGGTGCTGAAGAAGCTGCAACTGATCTCGCTAGCTGAGCTACACCGCTACCACCCCTAGGCGGGCAACCTCTCATAAAATGGTCTGATTCGCCACAAATATAACATACATCTACACCAGACTGGTATCATCCCAAATAGCATCTACCATAACCATAACACCTAGGGTAAAGTGAACCACCCTAACTAGAAACACCTCGATACTAGGACCATGAAGCCCGTGATGCCTGACTAACTCTAGATTGTGGGGGTCGATCAGATCTCGGCCCCTAAAATCATGATGGAGTACTACCTGCCGGCTGCCTGACACTCTGCTATCTACTAGCAGCAGATGTCTCACCAAACGAACCTGAAAATCTGTCTCTCTTGCTTGAGTTCTTATCTCTGTCAGCCCTCTGGTTCTATTTCCTTTCCTCAAGTGCTAAGGCGAATTACTAAATACATGCAATGTCCACACCCGTCTACATAGAAACAGTCATACACCTATTTACTAAGTGAGGACCATGTCCTGCTACATACCTGTGTACCATGTCCTCCATATCTGATAAAAGTGCAGGAGCAAACCTCGCAAATAAATTAAAATAGAGGTTGTATTCTGCAACACTCATACACCCTTGTCTCAATATTAGAAACTGATCCAATCGTGCTCTTTGTGTATCAGTAGGTAAGTAATTGAGGAGGAATTCCTCTTAGAACTCCCGCCATGCAACTAGATCAGAATTTGCTCCCCTATACATCTCCCAAGTGGTATACCAACCTACTGCTAGATCCTGTAATCTATATGCTTCCAATTCAACTGACTCTCTATCTGTGAAATGCATAACTCTGAGGGATCTGGCTACTCTGTCTAGAAAATCATAGGGATCCTCTGTTGTACTAGATACAGTGAAAACTGGAGGCTCTAATCTGAGGAAATCACGAATCCTACAACCCGTATCGTCACCCTGAGGACCTATATGATGCCATCTGGACTGGGTAGCTGCAATGCTAGTCAATAGTCTTTTGCTTTATGTGTATAGTGTTTGGAGGTATAGCCGTTGCCTTGTCGCCGACACTATCATATTATTCTTTGTATCAATTAGAGGCTCCGTAGACATAGTATGAGTTGTATTTTGATTTGGGTACGTTAAACTAGAAATGTTGTACTTGTAACACATGTTTCCACTTATAAGCTACGAATGTGTAATATATTTTTAAAATCGTGAATGAAGTAATTAATGGTAATGAAATTGGTATTGTACATGAAATCCTCTCATTGCCTAACTAATGGTATACATCTTCGCTTTATTTATGGGTAAGGTCGGGTATAAGGCATCGAGTAGGCTTACTTGACTGGGATATCTCAATTGAGCGCCGGTCGCGCTCTCCAATGTCGGAGCGTGACACTTGTAAGACTTATGAACTTGGTGTATACTGAATCACATAACACATGAAAACATGCTAACAGAGGAAACATGATTACATCGATTACTTCCAACGCAAAAGAGATATATACATATAGGGATCCGTGGCCGTAACACATGTCGACAATCCGACACCTGAGTACTGAATTAACACCTGTACATGACTAACAATACAAACTGCACAAGTCTACGAAGCCTCTATGAGTGTTTGACAACAGTACTACTATCGGGATACGACCCCGACCTACCCATAAAGTCTATACATATGCACATTATAAAATGACTAGACTCCGCCAAACTCCGGGTAGAAATGGAGCTTACCGAACATTCGTCGAACGCCTGTAACTGCCTACTGGGGAGGCTTGCCAACCTGAGTATCTGAACATACAACATGAATATACCGCCCTCGGCAAAACAGACGTGAGTACGGATGCAATTGTACTCGTATATAAGACAAACCAAATAATAATAAAGGAACAAAGGCTCATAACAGAGACAACTGAAATATGATCGTCTAAATACATCAGAAAGCTATGAAACAACCTACAGGAATACATATCAGATCTCACTGTTCTTATGTTACAAGCGTCTCTTTGAGTGCTTGCTGAGTAATATGGAATCATATTACTTGTCAACTTGTGATTGTTACATAACCGATAAGTTGTTTTAATTCTGGAATATAGTGAGCCGCATAGGGCATATAACATGTGAAAACATTCCTCTGCGAGGCTCGACGTTTCCATTCCCCCGTATATTAATGCACCAAACTTCCTTTTTATTGAAGTTGAACTTAAAATTGAATTACGGACTTATAATTTAAAAAATATTTTTACTTATTCTTTCGCAAAACCCTAAAGCGAAACAACAATCTTTCATTTTTCACATACTAGAGGTACATATTGGGGTTATTTGCACAAATATGATACTTTTGTGTTACTATTAATTTTTTTTAGCTATGGTAAAAAAAGTTTGAGAAAAATATGGGCAAGACTTTTTCTCATGCTGAGTTGGATTTTCCTTAATAATAAGTTATAGTAATCGATAGAAATTTATCACAAATTCTAGTGATCATCAGAAGTATGCTTTGATCTGATTTAGAAAATCAGGAGCATACTTTAAAATTTTAGCGCGGGATAATTTTCTTAAAATATTTTTTAACTGGATCAAAATATAAACCATAGTTTAAAAGAGGTCCATCTATCATAATTTCTTGTACATAGTGGGCAGTGGCCACAGAAAGCCTAAAAAACACCCAAACTGAAACCCATAAACCGATATCCATACCCAAGCCGAAAACAATCAAAATAAATTCTATCCAAATACAATTCGGTCGCGGTTTCCATTCTTCTAACAAGATCTATACTATACTATCTTTTATTATCGTGTATGTGATAATAACCCAAAGTTCACCCTTTTTTCTCGCTTTATATATTCCAAGTACTCTGTCATTTAAATCTCTTCAAATTCTAAAACTGAGTTTTAATTTGGGCAAACAAAATTTAAAAGAATGGGAAAAAATCAAGCTTACAAAGCTATGCAGCGAGCGAGGGTTGGTTCTAGCTCAGCCGGACCTGAAGATGTTGATGATGGAATGGTTCGTCCCTTTTCACACTATTCTATTTCAGTTCAACTTCATTCATTTTACTTTTGTGGTTTGATTTTTTGAATATTTGTTTTAGATTTTTATTTGGTTGTAAATTATTGTTGACTTAATAATTTTAGTGCTGCTTTTGCGTATGGTAAGATTTTCAAGATATTATATTATCTTTGACGTTGTGATTAATTGTGTAAAATTATCTGCTTCAGCTTGGTCCGGTGTGGCAGATTTTTTTTTTTATCATTTTCTATTTCCAGTGGTGACATATGGTAATTATACGATGTGTAGGATAAGGTATAAGAATAGTCTTTTGAAAATATTTTGGTGTAAAATGACTTGTGCCAATAAAAGGGATGCATTAAGCTCGCGCTATGTGCGGGATCCGGAGAAGGGCCTGACCACAAGGGTCTACTGTACGCAGCCTTACCGATATGTGAGGAAAATCATTTTCTCCAGACATTGGGAGTGTGAGGAAACGATTTTCCATGTGAAAAATTGTCACCGGAAGTATTGGATCAAGCTTCATGAAGGTAAAAGATAAGAAAAACAATTACTCATTTCATTGATTGTATAAGACAATTAAAGTCTAATTAATTCTGAGTAGCGCTATCTCTAGACTCTAATTATTTTAGTTTGTATTTGTGATGCTTATGTTTTTCTTCAATTTTTTTCCTTAAAGTTTATATAATTGAGCTAACTTTTTCTATTTAGTACGTTGGAGAATTTTCTGTTCCTTGTTTTTGTGCTTTGTCTGATGAGGACTGTCGCAGGTGGATGGTTCTTTTCATACACCAGAGTGGCATGCTGCTCGTTTGGCAAGCCTTAAAACTTCTCATACAGTTACCTGGGAAGAGTTCAAAAAGAAACAGAAGGTAACATACTCAGCCACCTTGATGGTCATAGGAGAGTGTACATATTCTTTGTTTGTAGTTTGCAGGTTTTGCTTACTTGGACTGCATGTCTTCAAATTTGATCAGTTTGTTGCTTTCTGAAGCTAGGGAGAAAATAGAAAGAAAATGTTAGTTGATGTATTAGGTTGTTACATCGAAGTACAGTTATATAAGAAAACATGGTTAAATTTGCTTAATAAACACCATTGTGATTGTCTTAAATGAAACTATGAAAGTAAACATACCTACATGTAGGTACAGTGAGAACACTTAAGAAGCGAACCTTGAAGAAAGATACGAAAAGAGGAACTAAGTATGCTTGGTTATGGTATATTAGTGCTGGATATTTTTTGCAGACACCACTAGCCCTACATACTGAGGAACAACTCCAATATGCAGAATGTGTCTAGATGGCCTTGTTTTAATCACTATGTTGTTTTGTACAACTAGCAAGTAATTGCATGAACATTTGGAGGTTGAATATTTTTAGCTGTTACTAACTACCTGGTTCTTGTAGAACTTCTACATTTTGTGGATGACTACTAGTATTATTTTCTTATAGGAAAAAAAGAAGATTATTTCTATTGTTTCCTGATAATATAGCTGTTCTTTCTTACTCTCTGTGTCTTATTCTGGAGATGCATAATACTAATGATACTCTTTTAGGAAGAAGAAATGAGAAAAGGCGAGCTAGAAGCAGACAAAGATAAAATGATGAGGGAATACAGAGCTCAGCTAGATGCTGAAAGGGCCATCAAGCTCTCTCAGGGGAGGAACCATTCCAGCAGTAAACACAGCCGTAAAAAGGGTAAAGTGTTCTGAAATTGCAGAATGGGACAATTTTCTAGTTCTTTTAGTTATAGTTATATCTTTAGTGTGTTAAATTTCTAATGTCTTAATCAGTTCTTCCTTGACGGTGAAATTCATTGTTGCAGATAAGAAGGACAAAGATACAAAGAAACACAAAAGCAAAAAGAGAAAGGTGAAGATTTTGTTCAATCTAGACCTCTTTCCTTTGCTTGTGAGAATGAAAAGTTGCCGATAATCTTACTTAGGTTAAGCTTGGTTGTCTTTTTATACCATGAAATAAACATGTTTAAAGATCTTTTAGTGCTGTTGGTTTTCTATCCTAAAGTGGCAAGTTGTAGCTACCTGAATCATCTTGCTTAATACCATATCATTTGCATTGCATTTAGATGAAACTAAATATTATTTTTTGGGCTAGAACTTATTTTATAATTGTTCAAATAGAGAAAAAGTTATGTAACTGAAAACAGTGACACCCCTAGTAAAAAGGTGCAAATACCCATTTGTATCTTCGGTGAGAAATTAATTGATCTAATTTTTGGTCGATTAGGGGTTTCACTGGTCTTAGAAACTTAGAATCAGATTCTCCAATAAAGGGTTTGTGGATGGCGGCATTGGTGATTGGGGTCTTGTACTTCCATATCATGGCCAGGTCCTCCTGCCAGTTTTGAGCTTCCTAGTAGCAACTTTTGATTTTCTCTAAGCCATCTAACTTAACTATGCTGTAGCCGATGAAAACAAAAAGAGGAGAATTTTTAGTTTCAGGTGAGATAAAGATTTTCTGCGGTTCTCATTGCTTTCACTTGCTGCTGAATGAATCCTTGATCATTAGACTTATTGATGAGATTTAAAGGACTTTTGAGGTCTGTCTATTATATGTTAACCTGAGCTGTGTGTGCATGTTATAAGAAAATTCAATATAGCATGCTTATGCTTACAATTTCCACCTATATATGGTAAGATGAAATTTCAAAGTGAGAGATTGAATCTGAATTGGTTCAATTTGACAAGAGAGAGTTACTCCCGCGGATGAGCCCCTCCTCTTCCAACCAAAACGTTGGGAGTTCGAGTAAATATAGGGGAAGTGGGAGAACACCATTAAATTCCCTGGGGAGGGGGTTTACCAAATCAACCGAAAAAATGATTTAGTCCTGATTCTTGGTTGTCATTTCTCACGTCTTAAAGTGACCGATTATGTTGTAGGAACAAAACATTGCCCCCTAGGGTTAGTTCACGTGGCAAAGGTTGAGGGTCTTGTGACATAGATCACTGATTCGAGCCCTGTGCCATGCAAACTAAGCCTAGTATTTAAGTGTTGAAGGGTAAAGGGGTCGCATTATCCCCGAGTTTTGAAGGCGGCGGTTGGTCCTAAGAGGTTGGCCCCATATGGATTTCTTGGTCATCAAGAAGAAAAACATGTTGAGAGAAAGGATATGATTATAAGACAAGGGTTATTAGATGACCTATGTGCTTGGAATGAAAGAAATGTCAAAAACATAAATAACCTGGAAAGATTAAAATTGGGAAAATTAGCTAACATATATTTGACTTGATGAGATAAGAAGTAACGCATGCTAATCTTTAAAACTAACAATTGAGAGCTTCTTATGTACTTCAATAAGCGTCTGAACAGGTAATTGCTTGACCAAAAATTTGAACTTACTAAATCTTTCTAGCTATCAGTTATCAATGTTCTATTCTAATTGGTGTCTCTGTAAAATGTTGAACATGCAGTAGCAGTTGAACTAAATGAATTTCCATGAAGAATAGCTTAGCAATTGTCAAATAGTCTGTATACTTTTATCTCCATGTTGAATATATACTAAAAATTTGTACTAGAAACAAATGGAGTGCCTCCCTTGTACAACGGAAGCAAAAAAGAGAGAAGTGTCAACATTGAAACCTAGAACACCTTTAGATGATCTTGTAGATGTTACCCACTAGATTTATTGGTCTGAAATCCTTGATACTGTTTGCCTTGTTCAATAACTGTAATTAAAGAAGAAGCATTACTACTCTTCTCAAATTTTCTTCTAGAACGGAAATGTCTTACTGCACTCATGATTTCTTCTTTATTTATGTTCCAACTTTGATAATTGTCATTAAAGAAGCATTGGTACTCTTCTCAAATTTTCTTCTACAATGGAAATGTCATGATATTTTCTTTATTTATGTTCCAACTTCGATAAAAGAAGTTGTAAAATCGTCAAGGCGTGTACTTTGTCCCCTGCATTGCTGCTAATTACCCTTATATTTCCTTCTCCGTGAACTCTCTCCCCGAACACTCTTATTTCCTCCCGTATGTTGCTAAAATTCACTCCTAGTTTTGGTATCTTCTCTAATTCTTTATACAATTGTCTGTAGAAGACCTTAATAGCTCTCTTACTTCCTCTTTTTCCTCTTACTTTATTTGTCCACCTCAATTATGTTCACAAATCTCTTCTGTTAGTGTAAGCTAATCAATGCAAAATTAACATGGCAGACACAGTCACATTTTTTTAGTCGCAACACCGTTATTTTTTTTTCTCTGTTTGCCAATTGTCATATTTGGTAACTCCCCCTTCACTTTTTCATTTTCTCTACCCTTTTTAAATCCATCTTCCCCTCTTTCATTTCTTCCTCTAAGTTCGTTCATTAGACACCTCACCTTTGTTTCTACCCTCCGAAAAATTTTACTGCTCCACTTTCTTACTTCATTTTTAAACAGATATAATTCCCTTGCCAAAGAGAAGTATGGGTGTACTTGGACTCAATCAACTTCCCCACCAATTACCTGCTATTTCCTTAGTTGTGTGCCGCGACCACTTTTTCTCAAATCTGAAAATGTTTTCAACCTCTTCCATCCTACTACCACTAGCAAGATGGGTATATGGTCTAATGTGAGCGAGGAAGAGGTACGTGGATGGTCTCTGGAACTGTCTCCTCCCACTCTGTCTAGATAAAAATTTGTCAGATCTCTGCCAATAACCCATGGAATCTCCCGCCCGTCTTCTACCCTGCAACTCTCCATACACTTCCCACAAAAGATTCTGGTATTTCCCCCTTTTTCAGTTGCAACCACACTAAGAGACCCCCCCACAAATCTCTTCATTCCACGCCCTCCACACATATAACGACTAACATGTGTTTCATAATTGATGAGCATTTCAATCTTTTAGTTCCTTCACTTTTATTTTATCCTTCACCATACCTTCATTACCTGCTTCTCACTTTCGTTGCTCTATGTCAGATAAGAGTTTTATTACTCTTTCCTCAAACCCCTCAAACTCCATCCGGAAGATTCCGGACA